TTTGGGTACTTGTGAATTTCTCTAGAGATTACACCCGTGGGGTGAGATGCTGAAGCGGAGGGTTGTGTAGATCTTCAACCTGACTCGGACCAGTAGTCTCCTTCTCCGAACTTAATACATTGCTTTTTACAATAGCCCAGCATTCCATTAAAATAACATACACTGATTTTTCCATTTCCTACCACAGCTACTGGATGTTAAACATCAAATTTAACATCTTTGTGACATGTGATTACACTGGGTGGAGCCCTTGAGGGCTTGGAAGGCCTCTGGGGTGTCTGAGCTCTTCTGATCCATAGGGAGGCAGGTCAGCTATTACCACAGCTATTTTTATGTTCAGCGCATGATGAAATCAAACCTGAGGGATTGGGAGTCTCAGGTCTAAGCAGCAGAGCCAGGAAGAGGCCCAGGTCCCAGCCCACTCACCTTCTCTACCTTCTTGCTGACAACATCTCAGGCCCTGAGATGGTCCAGGCAGAGCTGGGGAAACAGAGCTCCAGCTGCAGACCACAACAAGGGGCAGAAAATGCCCCTGCTCTGGGCACCTGCAGAAGCACAGGGTGTCTGCTCCAGGCTGCCTCTGAGCTGCATTGTCCTGGAAAAGGTGGAAACAGATGGCAAAGTAATAGGAACCTGATAGCATTGTTTGAGGTTGGGCAGGGGGTATCCTCTGGGGAAGCAGGAGAGCGGCTTTGGGCCAGGAGCCACAGGGCCTAGAAACAGATCTCATGAGGCTCCTTCCTCCCCCACCTCTGCCCTAGGAGGAGCCTGGGAGTGGGGGTGGGGGTGTGCTCAGCCTTCCATTGTTTGTCTGCTGCTGTTTCTGCTGGACTCCCTGAGGAGCCAGGAGCTATGACCCAAGGGCACAAGCGTCTGTGTGTGTGTGTGTGTGTGTGTGTGTGTGTGTGCGCGTGCCTACTTGTGGGTTAAGAGCTGAGTACAGGGCTGGCACCAGGGCAGGAATGCCGAGGATGGGGAAATGCATGCCAGCCAGCGGGATGGGACAGGAACGTAGCATGTCAGGCATCCTTCTCGTAGCTTCCTTTGTCCTGCTGTGCAGCTGCGAATCCTGGGCTTGAAAGGCTCTGATCTCAGTAGATACAGCTGCTGTGCCTGCTCCCTTAGGAATGAGGGGAAGTAGGAATTAAAAACGAGAAATCCAGGCTCTGCCACTCACCACCTATGCTTGGGAAAGTCCCGGAACTCCCTGGGGCTCATACCCCCAGAGGATGCCAAGATTCCTTCTGCACAGGGTGCACTCAGGCCTGTTCTTCAGGCCCAGGTTGAAGGCTGCTTCTGGGGGTAAATGACACGACCCTCCCCAGCAGCTTCTCTCCAGCTACTGCCTCAAGTTCTCAAAGACCTAGTTCCCAGGGAGCACCTGAGGATCAAAGAATCCGAGCGCAGGCTGTCTTGAGAACAGGAGAATAAAGGCCGAAGTCCCCAAAGTCTGTTGGTGTGTCTTCCCAGAAGGCGGTGAGTCACGCTGTTATTCTAGACACGGGGCGGCCAGGTGCGCCAGATGCCACCGTGTCCCGAGAACCTCATGGCCTGAGACACAGGCCCCGGCATTAGCCGGGGGCATGGGCTTGTCACTCGTCCCTTCACCCAAGTCCCCTCCTCTTACCTTGGCAGTCCTCGTCAGGCACTCTTCACCTGGGTCACCGCACCCACCGCCCTGACAACCGAGGTTACTGAAAGGCCAGTGTTTCCTGACCTCTGTGCTCAGGCCCGGGCTGCCTCTGGCTCCACGGCTCCACCCCCATGGCCCGCCTCCCTCCCACCTGCTCTCTCTCCCCAGACTTCAGGGCCCTCTAAGTCCCAGCCCTGAGGCCTGCTGGACAGGTGACCGTAGCTTACACGGCATCCAACCAGCCATCAAGCTCCAGCGATACTGACTCTCCGTGCATCTCCACTGGCTGTGTCATTTCCTTCTCAAGCCCACGCTCCTGTGGCTGCTCCTATTAGAATGACATCCAGCTCCTTCAGGGTGATCTTGATTGGCTCCTGGATGCCTCCCCAGCCCCTTACCTGTCCTCTTCTCTATTGCACCTGCCTGCCACCTTGAACTGCTTGGTGTTCCGCCAGTGGGTCATGGGCCCTGCGCCCCCTCCAGCTGTGGCCTTTCCCCAGCAGCTTCCTTCCCCGGGGTCCCGTCCCTTCCCTGCGCCCACTGTCACCTGCTGGCTCCTTGCTGCTCACCTGTCAGGATTGAGCAGGTGCTCCTCTCTCTGCGGAGGCCAGTGCTTCTGGGGTTCTCTGGCTTCCTGCGCCACCTGCATCCCAGTACTGATGATGTAACTGCAGGTGCTTCTCCAGAGTGGAGCTTGGTTTTTCGAGGCTCCTGGCTCAGGCCTGGCTCTTAGTACCTGGGACAAACATATCACATGCATTAAAGAGAGAAGAAGACACCTTCTCAAAGTTTTTTGGGGGTAATGTTGAGACCGCAGGGTTTTAAGGTATCCCTCTTGTGTTTGTGAGACTTGCAGCCAGGGCAAACCCCTGTGGACACGCACGCGCTACAGTAAATCCTCCTACCTGGCTGATTTCCTAGACTTTCTGGTGCTGCCTGCCACCAGCACCTGCGCTTTGCCATGAGGGCTGTCGTCCAGGAGCTGGGGTAGGGCATATCCTTGGCATCTTTACCAAGTGTAAGAAAAATAAGGTAGAGACTCAAGAGTTCGCTGTTCAAGTCCTGAGACTGATGTTTTTCCCTAGAATGTTCATCCAGTCCTTCAATGGAAGCAGCCTGCGAAAATCAGAGTGCTGCAGAGCCCACTGAAAATCCGGCTGGTGAGGTGGGTAGAGAATTTGGTCAATATTTCAGTTGTTCCTGCAGAAATCACTGTTGAGGGAGTCTGTCAGAAAGACAATTGACAGGACCCCCTCTTTGCTTGCCCCCCATTTCTCGGCATTTTGGCAGCCAACTGATTAATGAAATCTTTCCAACCCCCACACAAATGGCAATCTCCGGAGGGAAGAAGTATGTTTTCACACTGGATGGCAGATTAAAACAACACAGGAATCAAAATCTTTTCTATATAAGGGCTTAAACACTTGTGAGTTAAATGTTGTGAGTTTATACATCTTTGTCTCAGGGGTATAATTTTCCTTCTTGAATCCTTAGAGTTATTTCCAGAACTGCAAAAGCTGTTTCAAAAACCATGTCTGAAGTCTGAAGTGTCCATGTACAGTCAGCTCTTGAGTGGAAAGACTTGGGGAAAGGGAAGAAAAAGTGGTCCTGAGGGACGAGAAATCCATTATGGCTGTCAAATGCCAATATGCAGCAGGAATGAAGAGTCTTAAAGGAACATCTGAGAATTACAATGCTTTTACAAAAAACTCCAATGATTTATGGAAAGTTGAAGCAGAATGAATTTTTTTTTTAAATAGAGGCATGTTTTATTTATTTATTTGTTTGTTTGTTTGTTTGCTTTGTTTATACAAGCACTGGGTACAGTCAGAAGGGTAGGAGGGTGAGAGAATTCACCAGGGCCAGAGCGGGGAGCAGAGCAGGCAGAAGGACCGAAGTACACTGCTGAGGGGAGCAGCGGGCGGCAGGAGAGGTCTGCGCGCCATGTGGGATCCTCCTCTGGTGGCCGGGGAGCAGCCGGGGATCAAACCGGCGCCGCAGAGGTCGCGGGCAGCTTCGCAACCCAGCGCTCAGCTGCTGCGCCACCGGGAGGCCCTGAAGCAGAATGAATTTAATTACTGAGTTGCTGGTTATGATTAAAAAACAATTCATATACTATAAACTGTACTTATAGACTCGCCCACCATAATAATGTTAAAATTTAGGAACCTGAAATGATTAGAGTTGGTTCAATGTAGAAAGGCAACCTGAATAGAAACGATTCCTTTCAATGGATAGCAGTATTTTACATTAAATCCGATTATTATACTATTAAAGGAATCCACATCTATGAAATAAAAGTCAGGTTAAGTTACAGTTTTCATCAGAAATGTGCTTTTTAATTGAAAAGATTAATTCACACTTACATGCTTACTATAAATGAATATTCACACCTCCATGAAATGAATTGAAAAGTAATTCACATTTATATGTTTATAACGTCCTATTATAAGCATTATTAAGTTGTTTAAGACTTGCATTTAGAAAAATGTGCTCATCCACACCCTTTTAGGTGCACACCTATCACGTGAGAAAATGCTTTTCAAATGGTTGTACAGAACGCATTTGGGTTGGTGGTGTGGCTGGAGCTTGTTATTTAACAGCAAACAATCCTGGAAAATACTTTCACATCCTTTCCTTTTCCTGAGGAAGAAAATCCAACGGAAGACTTGGGGTTCCCTAAACAGCAACTCTTTTCTGGTCCCAGGGGACCCTCTCAGCTCCTGGGTTCAAATCTTCTTCAGTCACTTTCCATCTGGGCGACAGGTGAGTTGCTAAGCTTTTGTGTTCTCCCTGTTTCTCCAGCAGTAATTGGGGGATAACAGTCTCTTCTTCATAGCTTTTCTGGAGGAAAGTGTTAGAACTGCCTGCGAGGCCAGGGGTGGGGGTGTGGTGGGGTGGGGTAGGGTGGGGGGTGTAGGACCTCGACAGAGATGAGCACAGAATTATCGGCAGGGAATGCTCTCCTCTTTCTACAGCATCTGCACAAATAAACACCTCTTTGGTACACTCAGACTTTGCCTCCTAGCACATCATTTTCCACAAATAGTCCCACTATTGAGATAAAATACCTTCTCTTCCATGCCCGAGCAGCGATTGTTCAAAAACAAAATAAAAAGACAAAGGGAAAAGAATAAAAGAAAACACTGGCCGAGGGACAAGTTTGGAGAATTGTTCTAAAGGGTCATTGTATGCAGGTGAGCTGGCGGCTGGGGTGAACACTGAGACTTCAGGAGGAAACACACCCCATTGTGGGGCCATGGAATGGATGTCTTTTCAACAAAACAGATTGCTATCAGCCCGGTGGAGCCAAGTCAGGTTCCGCCCCTCCTGGTCATTTCCTTTTCTCTAACTGTAAGAACCAGCCCGCTGGTGTTTCTCAGGATTGCAGGATTTTAGGTCAAACAGAAGCCCCAGGGAGTGCCTGGAAAAGCCAACCACAGTTGCACTGTGTGTGCTGAGGGCATCATCGCCCTGCCGCTGTGAGCAGAGGAGGCTGCTGGGCCCGGCCTGTCTGGAGAGCTTGGCTCGGAGGGTGGCCAAAGGCAGAAGGCTGCTTCACCACAGAGGCTGGAACAGCGCCCCTCCACGAGCTGCCATTGGCATCCTCGGGCAGAGCAGCATGGACGAGGCACCGGAGCCCCTGGCCATGACCATCCACCTGCTCGCCAACGCCGGCCACGGCGCACTCCTGCAGCAGACGCTGGACCAGCTCCTGCGCTGCATCTGCCCTCAGGTCCGTCTCTTCCTGGTGTCCGAGAGGGTCAGTCCGGCGAGGTACTACGACAAGTGCCAGCCCCGGCGCTCACGGTTCCCGGGGATGTCTGTGTTGCTCTTCCTGCAGGAGAGCCTGGGTGAGCAGCGGCTGCTGCGTGTCCTCGACTCCCTCCAGCACTGGCCCTGGCAGGGCTACCCCGCCCAGCAGGCGCCGGCCAGACCGTGCCCCTACATACTTGCCAACCAGGACTTCTACAGTCTGGACAGCCAGATGCCCGTCTGGGGGGTGAGGCAGGTGCACTGCGGCACGGAGATCCTGAGGGTGACGCTCTACTGCAGCTTTGACAACTACGAGGACGCCATCAGGCTCTACGAGATGATCCTGCAGAGAGAAGCCACCTTGCAAAAGAGTAGCTTCTGCTTCTTTGTGCTCTATGCCACCGAGGGCTTTGCTCTGCAGCTCTCCCTGAAGCAGCTGCCCCTCGGGGTGTCGGTGGACCCCAAGGAGTCTTCGGTGTTGCAGTTCAGAGTTCAAGAGATTGGGCAGCTGGTGCCTCTCCTACCCCATCCGTGTGTACCCATCAGCCACACCAGGTGGCAGACGCAGGACTACGATGGCAACAAGATTCTGCTTCAGGTATTTGTGTTTGGCCTCTGAGGTCGTGGAGATGCAGGTGGGACTGTGTGATTTTACAGCTGAGATAGGCCTGAGAGATGGCTTAGTCTAAAGGCTCTCAGCCTGGTTTGCACATCACAATTCCTGGGGAGTTTTCAAACATCCCCATCCCATCACTGCACCCCAGTCCTGGTTTTGTGTGTTTTTTAAACTCCTTGGGTATGTGGCAGCATTGAGAGTCATTGATCTAATAACCTCCCTGAAGCTGACAGATAAGGTGGTTCAGAAGCTGTCGGCTTGTAGCTTTGCTTATAAAGTCGTTTACAGTCAAATCCAAGGACTCCCCATTTCTTATCAACTGTGCGAACACTTTGCTTACTTCTGGGTCCAGGAATTTCGTCAGCTCTTTCTGTCTGACCTAAGAAGGTGAAGTTGTAATTACCGTCAGGTATGTTAAGCTTACAGTCCTGTTGATTTCATTTTTTAAAATAATCTTTTTAAAAAAAGATATATTTATTTATGCATCCAAGAACTGGGGTATAGCCAGAGGTGAGGGCAGGGGTCAGAGGATTCACCAGAGACACAGTGGGGAACAGAACAGGCAGACTGACTGAAACGCACTGCTGAGGGGAGCAGTCGGGAGACAGGAGAGGTCTGCTGTGCCATGTGGGTCAGCACTCTGGCTGGGGATCAAACTCTTGCTGCAGTGGCTGCCGATAGTGTCATAGTGCTGAGACTTAAACCCCTTGGGCCACCATGGAGGACCCACCTGTTGACTTCATTTTTAAGCACCTCATATTGTTATGGAGCAGCCCGATATAAAACAGATTGCCTGGCTGTGGGTCCTCACCCGCGCGCTTACAAGGGACTTATGAATACTCCACTACAGGCACACACAAAAGGTTCATAAAAGGTTTATTTACAAGGGAAAAGGAAATAAGGAAAATGTACAACTCAGGGAAAAAATAGGGAAATAAAGTCTTTAATGCGTCCTACCCGATCCGCCGTCCTGGAAACCCAAAGGCACTCTCAGAGCTGGCTGGACGCTGCGAGCTGGCCGAGAGCAAAAATGGGGGACCCCTCCAAAGCCCACGTGTCTGATTTTATACCAAACCTGGCTGCTTACCTCCACCCTCAGGTTCCAGCAATCTTCCCTTTGGTGGTGACGGGATTTGTCTTTCCCAGTGTCTTGATGGCTTTGGTCTGGGGTGGGGGTGGGGTCCACAAAGCCTGCATGGAATTAGCTCAGGACATCCTTTCCCCCTAACAATATCACTGTCAATTTTTACCCTGCATCAAGTTAGAGGGTTGAGTCCCCTCAAGAGAACATATTCTCCTGTAAGCCTCCTACAGGAACAGGACACAACCATGAGCTACCACGGGTGTCTTTCTGTGGATTGTTCCAGCTGAATCTTGAGTCTGGTGTCTGAATCTTCACTGTGGCTCCTTTGCCAGCACAGGGGAGGTGCTGCTCAAATCTTTCTCCAGGGCAGTTGTTCTGCTTGCTAAATGGTCTGACACTTGCAAAAATGCTTACAATGCTACCTACAGTGCACTTTAGCCTTCTTTATTCATTTTTTGCCCTAGATTAAGTTTCCGTTATTTAAGTTTTAGAGACAGCCTAGAAAGTCACTGTTTTTCCCGTTTTGCAGAAGAGACAATTGAGGGTAGAAGAATTCAGTTACTTTCCCAAGAAGAGACAATTGAGGGTTGAGGAATTCAGTTACTTTCCCAAGGAGGGGGTAGTTTTGGCTCCAAAGCCCCAGCAGTAAACCGTGCAGTCCATTGTGTGCGTGCGTGTGTGTGTGTGTGTGTGTGTGTGTGTTTGCGCAGGCAGGGAAATATATGTGATAGTCACAGCAAAATATCCTGTAGCTTCCATCCTTGAGAAATGGTCAGAGAAACACCCACAAGCCTTAGTGGATAAAGTAATAACAGGATAGAAGGGGAATTGTCTTTCCCTTTGATTAATTTTGTTGCCATCAGTTTTGAGTTATTGACAAATATGAATCATGTGCACTGTATACAAATGATTTCTAAATTATTTACTTTTTTTCCATGTGAGAGTTGCTGATTCTCCTTTACAAGAGATCTAACATTTCTATGTCAGCTTCAGTGAATGTCTAGAACTTAGAAATCAGCCTCCCTGCCAAGCAAAACTTTAATGCACTGGTGCAGGAGGGGCACCTTTTAATCACTGCCCTTTAAAAGTTAACTGACGGGCCTCCCCAGTGGCGCAGCGGTTGAGCGCTGGGTTGCGAAGCTGCCCGCGGCCTCTGCGGCGCCGGTTCAATCCCCGGCTGCTCCCCGGCCACCAGAGGAGGGTCCCACATGGCGCGGAGACCTCTCCTGCCGCCCGCTGCTCCCCTCAGCAGTGTACTTCATCAGTCTGCCTGCTCTGCTCCCCGCTCTGGCTCTGGTGAATTCTCTCACCCTCCCGCGCTTCTGACTGTACCCAGTGCATGTGTAAACAAAACAAACAAACAAACAAACAAACAAATAAATAAAAAAACATGCCTCTATAAAAAAAAAAAGTTAACTGACATTTTCAAGTCTGAGCTACGGCCTTTGCAGCTTAGGTATTTTGGAAAGTTGAGTCAAATTTGAGGAGTACAGAATCATTTTTTTTTTTTTTTTAGAGAAAGGCATTGATGATTCTAGATTTTTTTAAAGCAAAATGAAGGTTATTTTCTGGAAACTTCTATATAAAATCCCTGAGGAAAGCCTGCAACAATGCCGTGGGATACAACATGAGAACACCTTAGCTTCCATGGGGCTTCTCCACCTGGATAAGAGAGTGGATTTTTCAGGACAGAAAAATTGTTACGGAGCAGCCCCGACATAAAACGGGTTCCTGGCTGTGGGTCCTCACCCGCGTGCTTAAAAGGGACTTATGAATACTCCACTACAGACACACACAAAAGGTTAATAAAAGGTTTATTTATAAGGGAAAGGGAATTGAGGAAATGTACAACTCAGGGAGAAAAGTGGGAGATAAAGTCTTAAATGCGTCCTACCCGATCCGCCGACCTGGAAACCCAAAGGCACTCTCAGAGCTGGCGGAGAGCCAAAAAGGGAATCCCTCAAAGTCCACGTGTCTGGTTATACCAAACCTGGCTGCTTAACCCCACCCTCAGGTTCCAGCAACCTTCCCTTTGGTGGGGATGGAATTTGTAGTTCCCAGTGTCTTTGGCTTTGGTCTGGAGTGGGGGTGGAGTCCACAAAGCCTGTATGGAATTATCTTTAGGACATCCTTTTCCCCCTAACAAAATCACACCTAACAAAATCCACACCTCCTTGTGGGAGTGGACACCGAATGCATCGGCCTTGTAAGGAAGCGATCCTTGTCTTAGGGGTGCCCTCAAGTCTGCACCCTGTCCTAGGACAGGCCTGTGGTCACCGGGGGGCTGCCACCCCCCCAAGGGTTCCAGCAGCTATGTGGACCCTGCTGGCCTGCTCCCCACGATGTTCCAATAAATGTTCTGGACTTCACTCCCACCTGGACCCACTTGGATCAGCGGCGCCTCTCTAAGTCAAAGACTGCATGCAGGGGAATTGTACGTGGGATTAACTGAGTCCTGAGGCCAAGGCTGATTTTTTGGTGGAGTCAGACCTCTAAGGGACTCACAGGGGAAGGCGAGAGACCCCAATGAAGACCAGACTGAGGGAGCAAGTCTGGGGGATCCCAACGACCAATGTCAACCAAGAATAAAAAAATAACACCTGTTCATGGGTGAGCCATAACCACAAACTAACCCTTTCACACAGAACCCTTCCACAGGGCCAGGATGGAGGGCTTGTGTGGGGGGGGGAGTGGGGGGGTTGCTTAACTCAGTGGGGGCATGGACAAAGGTTTCTGAGGTGTGAACCCTGGGCCTGAGCTGGACGCCCAGGAGGAAGTAGACAGAGAAGGGAGGTAGATGTCCACAGAGAGGACAGGGTGGGTGTTCTATGTCACATTTTTTAAGATTTATTTATTTATACAAGCATTGGGGTACAGTCAGAAGCGCGGGAGGGTGAGAGAATTCACCAGAGCCAGAGGGAAGAGCAGAACAGGCAGACTGAGGAAGTACACTGCTGAGGGGAGCAGCGGGTGGCAGGAGAGGTCTGCGCGCCATGTGGGACCCTTGCCGGTGGCCAGGGATGGAAATGGCGCTGCAGAGGCTGCGGGCAGCTTTGCAACCCAGCACTCAACTGCTGCACCACTGGGGAGGCCCTCATATTTGTTTCAAAACATATACTCCTCTTTCCCCTGTATTTGGGACTCATTCTTCAGGAATATTCTGTGATAATGGAAATATTCTATATATGCATTGTTCGGTATGGTAGCTATAAGCAGTTATTGAGCACTAAAACTGTAGCTAGCAAGACTGAGGAAATGAATTATTAATTTCATTTAACTTAATAATTTAAACTTACATTTAGGTAGCCACATATGCTTGGTGATACCATATTGTACAGACTGTTGTAGGTTATTTTAAGGCTTCTTGCTACTTCACGTTTCTATAATATACTGTATATTGCTTAACTGGAGGCAAACCCTCCTCTCTTCAGGCAAACCCTGGAATTAATTTAGATTCTTAGAAACAATAAAAAGATACTCAGCATCAATTTGATTGATGACGGTAGAAGGATTATGCAATTTTTAATATTATTTCTGAAGAGCACAAGTTATATACTTCTCTAGTACTGAGACTGGTTTTTCTACAGTTAATTTTGAAATCAGCTTGTCAAAAAGTTCCAAAAATTTTGACACAATTGTCAATGTTTAAGTGTATAGCTTTGAATACTATGGCTCATGTGTTTGAGAGAGTTTATATAGTAATATGATAAAATATGATACACTTAATAACTCTTATATGCCAGGCACTGGATTGCATGGATTCACTCTACACATCTCCATCCTACAGGGGAGGAAACTGAGGCTTATAAATTTTAAATAACTTGCCTATGGTCATACAAGAAGCTAGGGAGAGAGAGTCCGGTGTCAAGCTCAGGTCTCTCTTCAAAGTCCAAGATTA